TCCATGCTTGTTGTTGGGATGGGGACGTGACGTGACGTCAAGTGCTGTTCCTGTCGGATTCTGTGCTGCGGGTGCTGTCGCCCACTCCGTTTCGGGACACCGGGTGGACCGGCTTTTCGGTACGAAGAACACCTCACGGTCGCTGCGACCCTATCCCTACGTCCAGAACTGGACTCAGTAACCAGGTGAGATCCGTTCAGAAAGGTGGGAGAGTCAGTCAGCTGTTAACTCGGTAGGTACATTGAGCATACACTGAAAACCCATGAGGAAATCCCAAGACCGATGCCTTTGTATCAATCCGGGAAAGGTATGTTAACTATAGTGATATATTCATCAATCAACATTAAACATTGGAAACCGACGAGCAAAACCGAAGCTGGATGTCCTGTCCTAATGACCGCTCCCAGATGTAGAGAATTTCGGACAGAACTCAGGTCCAACTTACATCCTTAAGTCGTTTTTTTGTATGACCACGTCCAGTATTTCATGAGGTCAAACAGACCTGTAGGGTATGAGAGATATATTCATTCAGACTGGGATTGATCGGATGATCAAGGCCAAGGCCAGGCCTTGGAGGCCTTGCAGACTCCGGAAGTTTACAAGAAAGATTAGCCTCCCCAGTGGATCCCAGGCAAACCACTATACAAGGAACCAGGGATTCGTTCGGTCTATGGTTTTAGTCGAACTGGAACTGATTACCAGCTATAGTGGTTTGCCTGGATGCCCTGGGCTCATAGTTGCACCCTCCAACAGACATGGTGTCTTTGTGTTAGACTTTAAAGTGGCAGGTGGTGACCTGTTGGAGGGGGGGGCTTTTAGTTGCGCAATGTATTTAAAAAAGTCTCTGTATAGACCCCCAAATCGTAGATCCCGACGTAGAAAATGTATTGGACACCGTTCCACTATATATATACTGTATCTATTTGGAGACCGTTGCCAAAGAACAGACACTTTCTCGTAGTCGCCCCCCAAAAATACTGAAGACAGTGGGAACGGGCCAGCTGGCTTTGACAGAACTCATGGGTAAGTTCCCGGATGGTTTTTTTGTTTCAGAAACCCCAGGGATCCAGTGAAGGTACGACAGGACGCTACAGGCGCCTACATAAAAGAGGGTGGCAGTGGGTCCATAGGGAAAGGATTGCGATGTAACGTGACTCAACTCTTGCCAGATATGGCTCTGGCAGATGCTCATACCATGTCAGCCTGGCCATTTGTTGGGAGTGTTCGGTCATGTGATGCTGAGTCATGGCAAGGTTTCCAGATGCAGTTTTTTTTTTTGGTTGAACCCTTTCGGCTGCCCAAGATTTGCTGGAAATGAGTCCTTCGTGGCTGCCAGGTTGTGTTCCCACTGGTCAAACCCGATCCCAGAGTGTTTGATCTATCACCGTCAGACAAACGGTGAGTGTGTGTGTGCTGGTCCAACCATACGTACGGCATTTCCTACGCATGAGAAAGCTCTATCGCCTTAGAGAACAACCCCAACAAAACATCTCACTTGATTCACAACAGTCAGTATACTAACACTCAAGGGGTGACCCGAAAATCCAAGACCTGACTGCAAATGGAGCAACTCGCTTGGCCGAATGGCACTGGGTCCACATGTCGGAGTTGTCGAAGGTGTAGCCACCTGACCCCCTGACCCATCCACGTACCGTAGCTTCGGTTCGACAGGACCCGGACCGCGCTTCCAGTCGGGGTGCCCTGTCAGACCTGTTTACGTAGTGTGGAGATATCCAGCCAGGTGACCCCTAGCCCGGAAGCAGCTGGTGGACCACAGTACTCTCGTGCTGTGGGAAGAAGACCGAAGCAGGTACGGTAACGACCTCAATACGACGAGCCTCGTACGAGAGGACGACTCGTTCAGGATATGACGACTCACGCAGCGGAAGGACAATGACTGCGCTTTGAAAAGAACGACATGATGTTTGCCCCGTTGGTGGTTTCGTTCGGGTGGACCGAAACAATGACGAGACGAGACATAGACGTCGACAGTGCACGTCTCGCTCCGGTGGGGCCGGTGCTTCGATCGGAGCGTGGCGCTGACTCCGCATGGCAGGGTGATGCTGACTCCGCCCACGACTCCGCCTCAGCCACTGCTGGGAGCTGAGGGACTGGAGGGCCTGGTTCACAGTGGGGGGACTAACCTACAAGGTTGATTGAACATCGTAAGTGGAAGATGTACAACAGGCACAGATCAGGGCGGGAGTTTCTTCATTGCCCCGGTTTGTAACAGACACCTTTGCTAAAGAACATCACAGATGGAGTTCCACTGGTGCTGAGCTCAGAGGGCACAACGAGTTCACTTGTATCTCCGAACGAAACAGCCATTAAACCCCCAAAATACAAGCGGCCAAGGGGGTGTCTATATGGTGTCTATTCTTTGCAATTTAGGACTTCCAGTGGTTTCAGAGTAGATGGCAAAACCCCCAAGATGTCGTTTAGATGGGGATCCATATATAAACCACCTTTTGGTGATTGTGCCATCTACTCTCAATCCACTGTATATGTTCAAAGTTTGTTTTGAGGCCGTTTGCTTACATAAACCCTACAGGCCTCCAGTCGTACCTTCTGAGAAGGTGGGACTGGGGTGGGTGGATTTGGAGGGTCCAAAAACCTTCTGAGGAGGTACGACTGGAGGTGTAGGGAATAGCCACCTCTCGTTTCGTCGCCCATTCCCAGATCTTCATCATCGTGTTGAGACTGGGCCATGTCTCCGATGTGGCAGTAGACAGATCTATCAGATATCCATTCCTAATTAAAGGTTTTGAGGACTTTCCCTCTCGTCCCGAGTCATTCAGATGAATTCTTGGCACCACTTGGACCTGCTTCAGACTCTCCGCCTAAGAACAAGGCGCTTGGCCTCCGCTCCAGCGGTGTCCCCCACGCCGCGGATTTCTTTGACGCAGGCGGCGAAGAGGGCGGAACTCCGCGGGGGGTTTTCCTCTAAGGGCTCCTGTGCCATATTTGGTTCTGTGCTCGGACCCCGTGGGGGTGCCACACCCCAACCATCTTCGATTCGGAGGAAGTGAGAATGTATTTCAGTCGGCATCTTCCAAAGGAAAGCAAGAGACAAGACCAGCATCCACCAACAGGTCTCCGACAAGTTGAAATCCTCAAGCAACAAACGATCGCTCCCGGCTGGGTAGACTGGTCCATTTTCCGGAGCTTTTTTGGGAGGTCGAGACCTATTTTTTCGCTGCCCCAGCTTGGAGTCCTTCTTTTCGACAAAAAAGGCTTTGCTGAGTTCAGAGTTGTTGTTTCAGAGTCAGGAGGCAACGCAGCCTTCTTTTTTTCAGCGGTTTTCACCATGACATCAAGCCGAACAGATCCACTCCAGGTTGGGCTGGAAGAAACATCGGAGGTTTGGCTGAAACATCATGGGTGATGTGTTTTTTTGCGTTCCTGGGTGAATCCCCAAGGTGGCTATTCCCTACACCTCCAGTCGTACCTCCTCAAGAAGGTTTTTGGACCCTCCAAATCCACCCACCCGAGTCCCACCTTCTCAGAAGGTACGACTGGAGGCCTAGGGTTTATGTATGTTTATGTTTTCCCAGCTGGACCAAATCCAAGTGGCCGCTCCAAAATGGGTGCAGGCTGCGTTGCTGGAGCCCACCACACTGCAGGCGTGGAATCCGCTCTCGAGCTCTCGAGTTGGCGTGACGGCCGGTGTCCATCACATGAGATTGGTTTGTTGATGTTCCTTGGACAACGAGATGGGGGGCAGCCACAAGACAGGGTCGAAGAGTGCTCCCACCATTTGGTTCTGGACAACACTCGGGGACGGTCTAATTAGAAAATGAATACCAGCCCTCTCCGCCAACAAAATAACGCACGTTTGCTACATTGTAGCGAGCGAAAAGATGTCACATGTGAGCCATTCAGAAGGCCTCACAAGGTACGACTGGACCCTCCCGGCACCGGCACCTACATAAAACGGGCCATGCCAGCTACGTTCATATTTATTGCAGGGCGTGTAGGTTGGTTGGTAGAAACTTTCATCATACATTCGAAATGGCCTGACTCCCCCATTTCGGATGACCATGAAATCTGCACTTCCAGGTGGTGCAACACTTTCCGCAGTCCGAACCAGCGAGTGTCAGTCCGGTCTGCACCGGATGTCCTTCTGGGTTCGCTTTTGCTAGGCTTGGAGCCCGTCAGCTCGGAGGACGTGCCTGAAGCTCAGGACGGCCTTGAAGAATGGCCGTGGCTCAGTAGCTAAAGAAGCTGCCCAGATTTGCTGATTTGAGAAACCATTAGACTGATGGCCTCCAACCTCATAGCGATGGCCTCCAACCTAATAGCGATGGCCTCCAACCTAATAGCAAAATTCAAGATTGAGCCCTATATCCATCAGATTGTTTAAATGAGCACCTTCTTTCTTAGCCATTTGGCCTACAGAACCTCAAAACTGCAGACGTGAACCTATTCAATCCTCCCACGACACATGTTTGTGTGCGCTGACTTCCAAGACAGTCATGGGAATCCAGTTTTGCATTAAGGTGTGTTCTTTTTCTGTTTCCCCATGGGTAACCCCTTCTGGGGAATGTTTATTTCCAGCTTCCTTAAGATCCAAGGAAAAGAGATCAGCTCAGCATCGAAAGCTTGATGGCAGTGAAAGACACGGCCGACTCGCGCATCAGAATCACGTCTACCGGGTCTACATGCCTTGACGATCTTGAACACCTATGCCTTGACAACACCTATGAAGATCAGGTTGAGAACCACTTGTAGGTGAGCAAGGGCCAAGAAGCTCCGTTTGAAAACATGTCATTTGCAGAAGAAGGTAGAAGAAGGCACAAGAAGGTTGTGTATGCCAAAGAAACCCGTTTTGCGTTTTTGCCCTGCATCATTTTTTTCGCACACCAACACAATGCCGTGCCCAAGCAAAAGGCAAAGAAGAAAGTCCAAACACAACTCCGAACAGCCTTGTAAGTCGAGAGGAGTTTGACATTGTCTTTATTGGATATGGCTTCACCAGCTGAAAGGATGAATCACTCAAGATGGCCTTTGTCTCAAAAGAGGAACACGCTGGGGGACTTTGGTGGGATGCTGCTGACAACGTCAAGCTGCACATTCCTACCTATCGTTATGCTTTGCCAGGCCTTCCCTACGACGAGCCCGAGGCTCATACCGATTCCAGGCACCAAGCCTCCAGTGAGCAAGTGTGCCAGTACGCTGGCAAGATCGCCGGACGCGTGGTGAGTGCACACTTCGTTGGAGAAGTGACCAGTGTCGCACTGGAAAAGAGTGAGACCAAGCTAAAGAAGGTCACCTACATTCCAAGAGATGCAGACGAGCAACACCACCATCATGGCCACATCTACGGCCGGCATGTCGTGCAGGCCACCGGCTTCGATGGCTATGGAGGAAATCCTCAGCTCTTGGGCATCCCAGTGGAAGTTCACTCCAGTCAGCTGAGGCAACATGCCGAGAGCCTGCACTGCAAACGTGTTTCGGTGGTTTGGGCATATTTTTGTTTGTGCATTTAGCTTTTGCATGTCTTTTTGGGGAAGGACCATCATCCCCTTTAATTGATTTGGATTGGGATGGTTAAAGCCACCAATTAGGTGTCTTGCTGGTGGGGAGCGGCAAGTCCTCCTGCCGAGAACGGCTTTTGACCCGTGCGCTGCTTAGACCGATCCTCGACTGCATACATGCGTGCGCCGGAGCTTCAAGCCTCGTCCCTTTTCAAGCCTCGTGATGTTCTTCCACCCATATCGGCATGCATAACCATGCTGAGTGCAGAGGTGACAGCTGAGGATTGGAAGAAGGAATGTGAGTTGGAGGACTTGGATTCCTGGGATTGGTATGTTGTGGGCAATCCAAATTGTAAGAAGGTCAGGGAGAAGACCCGCGGAGGCATCATCACACTTTCAGATGCTGTGTTCATGAACCTGATGCTTCATGCCTATGGTGTCCAGGGAGATGCCAGCAGTTTCAAGTACATGAGCAACGCGGATGGCACAGTGAGCTGTGATGCATTTCCTGGCGAAAAGTTTGACTGTGTGGTGTCATGTACCGGCTACAAAGGCACTCCCAGGCTTTTGCCACATTGCATCAATGCCACAACTCCCATCTCTGACACGCACATGCACCAGGCCCATATGACTGGTTGCTCGCTGCACAGTTTCATGGATGATGAGGAGAAAGTGGCCAGCTGGAATGCACTTGCAAGCCACAGATTCGAATATCAGTGGCACCAGCGCTACGCGCATGTTCGCCAGTGGTGCTCTAAGCATGCTCCTGATGTCATGTTCGAGGTCAGAATGCCAAGTTCTAAACAATCAGGGACGTGTCGATGTGCCCCCCCTGGTATTCCCTGATGGTGGTTGCTGCTTTGGAGAAAGTGGAGCAAGTCATCATTTCCTGCAAGGCAGCCATTCGGCTGGCTTGCCGCCCCTTCATCCTTCACTCGCCCCCTGCTGCGCCGTCCGCAGGAATACACTCCCGTCCGCAGGAAACGAGGTGCTCTTTTTGGCAGATCTGAACTACCTCACGTGACCGGAGAAGAGTTTCTTTTGCTGCTCCTTTTGGCTGGTCTGAACTACCTCACGTGACCGGAGGATAGTTCCTTTTTTTTTCCAAGACTTGCTGCACCTGGGAAACCAGAGTGTGCAGGCACCAAGCGTGTAAAACACGTTTGAACCCAATGCTGCACCAACACAAGAGAGCAGGCAGTGTGAATTTGTTTAACGTTTTCCATGCTCAGCGGGAGACAAAGTCTACGCAGAGCGTCTTTCCATGTCTTTCTTAGCTTTCAACGTGTTCAACAGCGTTTGCAAAAAGCTCTCACTGGCAGCACTGCCGATTTTCAACTGGCACAAACGAAAGCAACATGTGAAACAATGAAATGCCATGTGCGGTGTGTTTGCTGATGCTGATGTGCATGGCTGCCTTCTCCTTTAGCAGACCCGATGATCCTTCCTGGCAAATGTTCCGTTGCCGTCCTTGATGCTGGCGGCGACATCGAAGTCCACGAGCTGTTTCATGCCGGCTGTCTCATCCTGCTTGAACAAATCTCCACAGCTTTCGGCCCCATGAATGACATGGAAATGCCATGAATGACGTCAAGTGGTGCCATGAATGCGTAACCAATCAGGTGGTGCCATCCACGGAAAACGGTGAGAATGCTCCAGGGAGGAAAAACAAATAAGTACCACGTGCCCAACCTGGAATTGGGGAATGGGTACTGAATATGAGTGGAGTGGAATGCGGCCGGCAAGTGTGTGCTTTGCTTTTCAATATGTCCAGATATGCCAGCATGCTAGGTTCACTAGTAAAAGACGATCCAATATTTCGACTTTTTTGTAGAAACATTTGGCAAGTGTGGGCAACTTGGAACCTTGAAACAGGAAGCGGAATCTGCTATTATTCTTAATGCTAGATCCTTGTGGAAATTGCTTTAAAACCAATGTCACAAAGTAGATCAGCAACATGTTGAAAATTGATGTGGTTAGGAGAAGCAGCAAAGTAGAGTGACACACAAAATGCGCCAGGTGTGCAAGCAAGGACTCCAATCAAGAAAGATGTAAGCTTTGGTAGCAACCAACAAGCATTAAAGCAGAAACATGCAGAAACCAAACAAGTCTTGGCAAGCAAACGAAGAGGCCGTATTCCCCAAAATGCTTCCGAGCCTGGCTCCCAGACCTTTTGTTTATGGTGTTGTTCTTGGTGGCCGCTTGACATCCCTGCCGAACTTGTTAGGCTGGAATCAATGAAGGCATTCCACAAGATTGGAGCAAAGTAAAGATCGAGATTGGGATAGGCATACTTCAAGGAAGGACATTGAGCTTGGTGCACCGGGAATATGCAAAAAGGAACTCATTCTGGTGCACCGGGATCTTGCCATATTATTGGTTGCATGGTTTTCCAAATCGCATGCTTCCTTCTGCATGTGCTTCCTCACTCGTCGGTCGGTCACTAGGCCCTTTATGCCAAAACGATCCAGCGAAGGCTGGAGCTCCGTTCACGGATGGGTCGTCCCCAGATGTCCCAGCCGCCTGGTAAAAGGACCCTAGGGCTCCAAGTACCTCCTCAGAAGGTATTTGGACCCTCTAAACCCTCCCCAAACACCTTCTAAGAAGGTACTTGGAGCCCTAGGGGGACTCTTCTTCGGTGATGTGTGAGTCAATCCTAGCCCCTTCCGAAGTCAATCCCCTTCTGGGTGAATCTGGGTGAATCTGCTGTTCCTCTGTCGCCAAGCGACCAAGCTGGGTCGGGTCCGACCAGATCTGACCAGAATCGGGGACCGAACCGAGTGGATGGTGCCTGGTTCGTGACATTTGGACCGAACTTGGATAACTAGGTCAATGTTGGGTCACGGTCGCCGAACCCTGTCACCCTGCATTGGGTCGAAACAAGGAACCTCCGGATCAAAAGGACACGAACTGAAGAAGCTGGCCATGATGTTGAGTCTTGGACTCCCGGGATGGTGGTTCTTTCTCAACAAAAGGAACCGCAGGAACTGATGGTGCAACGCACACTACCTGGCCGCTTGGTCACCGGCCTAGGCTTCCAGACAGGGCACCCCTTACTGTAGAGGCTTCGTAGCTTACGACTGGACCATCCGATGTTCAGCTCCGGAGGGCGTGCGCCGTCGAGGTGCCCGACCGCGTGGTGCAAAGCCCTGCCGTGGCGACGTCCCGCGCGACCACGCCGCCGGCGTCTGCGCTACTGCCGATGAGGAGGGGGCGGAAGGAGGGGGAAGGACGTGAGGTGGTGCTGGAGTTTCCCAGCCCCAGAACATTCAATCAGCCAACACCTCAGTTGAGCTGCATGGCCGGACCTGGTTCGCACAGGTTCTGGTTTCGCCACTGTTTTAGATGTAAAGGATTTTAAGTAAGCCACCGTATTGGAACTTCTGGTTTGGACTGGGTTCCAGGCTGAATCAATGTCTCACGTGAGAAGAAACATCATTGTTTCAGGCATCGAGATTCTCTCCATTGATGTAGGGATCCAAGTACCTCCACTTCCTGCTCGAAGGTTTGAACCTACAGGCCTTCAGCGTCGAAGAAAACATCACCCTTTCAGCGTCGGTGGCAGTGGATGCAGACGAGCATGCAGACGAGCAGTGGTCCAGTCACGGCAGTCATAGTTGTCCATGACATGAATAGATGGATCCGAGTATGTTGATTAATTAGTGTATACCTGGACCCCCCAAGGGGTGGTTAATGGACATCCCTCAACCTCTAAGGGGCTATTATTAGACACCCCTTAGGGGGCCCTGGTATGTTCATGATGGCGCCATCCTGTAGAAACCCCGCCCAGTGTTGAAAGCTTTTGTATCGGATGCATCCAGGAGGGATCGAGCTGCAACATATCGCCATCCAAAGGTCCGAGCCAAACAAAAAACGACAACGTGTCCTCAGAGCCAATGGAGCATGCCTCTTCAGTGTTTATCATCCTCTGAAAGTGTGTAATAAGATACCTCAGGTTTCGTGGATCAGGTGATTGTTTATTTTCCCTAGGGTGAATCCCCCATCGTGGGGATTTTGTTTGTGTCTATTCCCCCCCGGCGACGAACAAATCCAGGATAGGAAATCTCTCGCTGGTCGGTGGTGCGAGGCCTGCGAGTGCAGACGCGCGACCCTTCAATAGCTTTAGTGTGGCCCCCGAGTCGCTGGGAGGAGCCAGCGAGTGTCGTTTCCTTCAACCGTCAGTCCTGGTCATTTTTGTTGGTCTGGGGTAAACGAGACATAGCGCGAGACTGAATTAATGCAGACTCTTGACTAATAAACCCCCGCCATACCCCCGCCGTATGCAGAGGTTTGTCAATCCAAATGGGGTTCTCACTTGCTCAATCTTGAACTGGCCTGCTGTAAATGCACCATGGACCCTTAATGAAGAGAGTGGAATCTCGTGGGTTCTTTGCTTGTGATGTCCTTATTATGCTACGATACTCCCGGTCCAGACCCAGGAAAAGACCTCGGTCCAGGGCGCATGCGACCTCCATCATGATGCCAAGTCGTCCGCAGCCACCACGAGCTCGTTCTGAACGTTTTCACACTTACATAACAGTGGAGACAACACATCACCGTACCTGAGGTACGGTACGGCTGGATGTAGGGAAATTCCATCAGTTCCATCGCGTGTTCTGGAGCCGGACAGCGTGGGGGACACCGTGTGTAAAAACGCCGTCGATTTGGGAGCTCCGTTGTGGGTGAAATCCATCCCATTCTGCTGCAGAAAGGAATAGACCATGACCTTTTTGTTGATTGATTGCGCAGAACTACAACTATGCTGCGCAGGCCGAAATATGTGTGTGTATGTGTGTGCATGGCCATGAAGACGGGTTGTGGCTAGATGACGAGCTTACACTCAACGCCTTCAAGCAAAGCCCTCTTAGAGCGCCGAATGCATCTGCTGCCTGTTCCAAGCAGCATCAGTTGGACCAATGCTCGCCGACAAAGTTCAAGGCCTTTCAATTTGAGCCTACTTCGTCATGGCAAGGCCTTTCAATTTGAGCCTACTTCGTCATGGCATACCATACAACGGGCTTCCAGGCTTTGACTGCTGAAAGAGCAAAGTTTGACTGTGTTTACTGTGGCATTATGTGATCTAGGGTACCCAGCAGGTGTCATAGTCAGAGATGTGACAACATCTACGCTAGGCTTCTTGGTCACTTGCACTGCTGAAGCGTCCTTCCAGTTGCCTCCTCCGGTCTGCTGAGTGTCCAAAGTTCAACTTGTGCAACTCCAAAGCGGTAAAGGACGACATCTCCAAGAAGCCGAGCGTGCTCCTTTTATTTATCTCAAAGGAGTCAGGCATGTGGTTGAGTACTCTGTTCCGTCCAAACAAATGTTCATCCACCATGTGGTGCTAATGACAAAATTGGGGCCATGGAACAACGATCAAGAAGGTCCACCTATGCCAGCCTGAAAAAACCCGTACGAATGCAATCCCAAGCGAGATCACATGTAGAGATGGGGTCGTTTTCACGAAAAACACCGCACGAATCGTCCACGGTCATCGCACTGGCGCCTTGGACTGCCCACGCGTCGAGGACGACCGTTTTTGTCCGCAGCGTGTGGGGGGAGTCGGACCGACCGACCTCAGTGGCAACGGATCGGCTGCCCCATGTGTTTTGGGGGGAAGTGGTTTTTCCCACGTTCGTCTCGATCGAAAGCCGCGGACGGAACCCCGCGGACGAGCGACCAATGAAGCGGCGTTGGGGGAGCGCAGGCGGAAGTCAAAGCGAAGATGGACGAAAGACCTGATACCAGGATCATCCTGGACATGGGGTGTCCTGGCTAGACTACCCTACCCTACGTTTTCATGGGTCTCCAGACAGGGCACCCAGACAGGAAGTGCTAGGTGCGTAACA